TTTTCCTTTTTTTTTTTTTTTTTTTTTTTTTTTGCAGAATTCTTGAATCAGCATATTGTTCGTTCTCACCTTTGCCTGTCTTTCAACACCTAGTTTCTAGAAGGGGCTCGGTGAGCTGTCTAATCTTTTAACAACAGTATATGTTTTTAAAAACAAACTCTGTTAGGCTTCATATTTGTGCTTTTTATTCAAAACGAAATATTTTGAAGGAATAAAACAAAAATGTACTGTCTTTTCAAGTATTTTCCTGACGCTATAAAGAATTTGATTAAGCTATCGACTGGTGCATCTGTTAGTTTAGTATGTTTCTCCTTACTAACAGAACGTACGAAATCCTGAACGGATAAGCCTTTTATCTTCTGGATCAATCGCAGTCAATAACGTAATCTGATTACTACAATTTCAGCTTTAACCAAGATGATTTGTTCTGTCGCAGATAACTTAGAGCTCTTTTACTTCTATGACTCAATTTTTTTTCCACCTTTTTGTGAGGATTCTGCGTTACTTTTGCCTGGCTGAAGAGCCTCCTACGCATCAAGCAGCAACGGTGTCTCAAAGATGTACAAATAATGATCAGTGCAGAACTGAGCAGACATAGTAATTCCAAATTGCTTACCACTTGTTAATCTGAGTTGTTAAGAATGGTTGCATCTCTGAAAAGGTTTTTACGTCAGTTAAAGTTTAACAAGAAGATTTAAATGGAGAAATGAGATGAATGGTTGTTACCTGCAATCGCGTATGGCTGCGTAATGGTCGCAAATATAATCCTTTTTAAGGGAGATTTTTTGCAAACATGTTAGCAAACATGTTACATAGAACTGATAACAAAGGTAGCTCTGAGAAACTTTTGCTTAGCTATAAGAGGTTTTCTGAATTATACATGGTGTTGTTTTTCTGGGCGAAAATATGAACTACAATTTTTCCAGCTTTTCTTCTAAAAATCTGAAGAAATTCAAAAAGATATTTTTTGGAACTTTGAGAAAAAATCTAGAATTTTAATTTTTTAAAAACTGAAGAAAATTTAGAAGCAGAGTTTCCTAAATTTTGAAAAGAATTGAGAAACAAAGTTTCTTGAAGTATAAGAAAAGTTTAAAAGCGCAGTTTCTGAAAATTTGCAGAAAATTTTAAAAAAAATTTGTCAGATTTAGTAAGAAGGAAGAAAAAAAGTTATAGGAAATTACGGGAAATTTAGAAACAACATTCCTTATATTAAATTTTTATTTGGCATTTACAGTCTGAACTACAAGCTATATCAAAGCAGCATTTGTTGGCTCCTGTAGCTCATTCTGCATAACCACTATAGCCAACCAAAGCGATACTCTTGTGAGAATAAAGAGCTTTATATACATGTAATGATCAGTTGGAAATGATCAAAAAGGCTTATCAGTAGTCATGCCATTTCTGCACAAAGATTTGTATCGCTGATGAGACAGATTATTTTCACGTACATCACAGTTGCTGTTAGCGTTTTCTTCGCTTGTACACATTCTCAAAACTTTTAAAAGTTAATGTAAAGTATTAGTTTAAAAAAAGGTAAATTTTAGATAGAAAAAGAAGGAAATAAACATCGAAATCGTACCAGTTTTTGATTGTTAAGTCCGGGTGCTTATAAAAAACAGAGCTTTTGCAACATAATTCAAAAAGTACTGCTAAGACACAGAACTTTACCCAAACTTTTATTTGCCCAGTTCTAAGATAAGATATTCATTAAAGGTTACAGAACATAACAAGGTGGAGTAGTTGACATATGAATTATACGTTGTAAACGGATATACAAAAATTGAATCAGAATTCCAAAGCAATAAAGACTGAATAAGTGCAACAATTTAAGCCGTAGATAAATCATATAAATTTCTCCTTGCTAGGTGAGGCCTTATTGCGACAAGTCGGTTTCAAAGATGATGCCAGACGTCCAGTTTTAACCTTTGGTTAACAGAGAAGTACAGATTAAGACTATGGTAAGAGTCATGAATAACAACGTTTTCGCTGTGCCGCTTGCGATTCCTTGTGCTATTTTCGTTTGTAGTTTGATGAGACCCTTCACTAAACCGACTTCTAGCAGTGATTTATGCCAGCGAACAGTTCCTGGGAATGCTTTGGTTGGAGAAAGCTTAGCTATCCTGACAAATGGCTGTGGATTTTGCCGTGAAAAAGTTTATTTCTTATTCGCTGTACTAATGATCATGGCTGGGAGTATCACTAAAAAAAGCTTTTTATTTATAGTGTTCATTTATGGGGTTTTGACTGGTTGCACTTTTCGATGCTTGTTTCTATAACTTCCAAGACACAAACTGCGCTTAGCGGTAATTTGAAAATTTCAGTGGAATCGAATGCCGCTAATGAGAATTTTAAAACTTTTTATATTACAAATACGAGAATAATATGCGTGTAATAGAAAAGTGGCAGGTCGCGCATTTTAAGATTAATCGAGAAATTCGACGTTTACCGAGTTATTTTGAAAGAGAATTTTATAACTGCTTTGAACAAAGCGCGAACTTTTACATTTTTCCAGTATTCCAGATTTTCCTTGACGTCAAATCGTCCTTACTCATCAAACCACATCGTCGTTTCGCCGTACTGGCTTCCAGCTTCTAAATTTTACAGATTGCATTTTCATCACCAACAGTGGTGATGAGTAAATTCAACAGTAAATGACTTGTTGTTGCTCAGTCTTTTTGGAAATCTCAGACCCAATTGAAATGAATATTCGACCACAGTAAAAAACCATAACAGATAAAGGACCTGTAACAAATTTGCGAATAAACAACATTTCGTCAAGAAAACTGTGCAATAGACATAAATAGTCTAACAGCAGTGATGTTAGGTCATACGTAGTTAATATATCAATTGACTTTACAATAGCAGTTTCATCCATCATGCATTATCAACATTTGTTTTTACAAAAGCTTCCCCGTGTGCTTCACCCTCCTCCAAGAACACGGACTGGACGACTTCGTCCGAAACGTCAGCATAAACAGCAGCTAGGTATTCACTTTTCGCTTTCGCTTCTTTAATTGCTCTCATTATCACTGTCACCACAATTATCAATATAAGTATAATTGCTCCAAGGACTCCACCAACGATGTATATGATCCCTGAAAACAGTACTATTTTTCATTTGTCGTTCCTCTGTTGCAAATAGTCTGTTAATTTGAAAGTCGTATTTTTGAACGGTTCGTAACTCATTTGTTTTTGAGGACATGAAGTCAGGTCAAAGCAAAGCATTTTGTGTGTTTCAGGTTCTAAGTAGGTCTTTTAGATTGATAGAAACTTCTTTTTCTAGTAGAAGCTAAGACCTACTGTAAGTTCAGAGATCTAAGCTTATAGAATAAACTGAACAGTATCTTCTTGCTATATTGCAGATGAGTTCAGTACTAAACGCTTTGAAAGTTGTTAACGACTTACACATTTTGTCCTGCTTTTCTTTTCGTTTAGATGCTAGTAGCTCCTGAATAAAGGAAGATTACAGAAAACATATTGCGTTCTACTATTAGTGCATTTGTGAATTAAACTTTAAAGAATATTTGAATTTTAATCCTGTGCTTATTTTCAGTTTCAATTTCTGTGCAAGAAGAGAGGGGGAAGGAAGAGAGAGGTTTCACTTTAAGCCTGTCTTTGCTCAGCATCAAAAGTAATAAGATAAAAAACTGAGCAAATTAAAAAGGGAAGCTAAACCGGTTAGACCCGTTTTGCATACCCTTCAGCGATGCATTACGGTTAAACAAGCTTTCTTATTTTTGAATACCACCATCACTGCCGAGGAATGATTCCACTTTTGAATCTCCTTTTATCATTCTTAAACCGTGTAAAAAACCGTTTGTTTTCATGTCTAGTAAAGCTTAAGTCTCAGGTAAGATATAAATTTACGATGTGTACCTTTCCAGGGTATTGCTCTGCTGTCCCACCACTGAGCTATCAAGAAGCTCTGCTCAGCGCTGTCTACGCTTTATTTTGATAGATTTTTTGGCTTTTTCGCGCTTTCAGCAAGAGAAATGGATACATCAGGTAACTGACAAATTGCAAAAACACGCATAGAAAAATAATTTATAGATAATTTGTGCGCTAAAATCCCTACTGCACAGAAGAGTTCTTATAAGTAAAAGTTCTTAAACCTCATGCTTTTTCTTCTGCTTTATTGTTTAGTTCTGAAGAATCAAGTCCTGTCTTTGCTTCTTGAACGACCTAATTTTATTTTGATAAGTGAAAGCTGTCCCATTTAGCTGTCCTGTGCCATTGTAAGCTTTTCTCTTCTCTTTTCCTCCCCTATTTGGCGAAATGGTATCTTTATGCAGTGCAGCTTAGTCAAATGTATATAATTGCTTTCAAAAATAGACTTCAATTTAAAAAAACTTATATTTAACGTTTTTATTTTTGAGCCTCGAGTTGAACCCGTATTGTTCGGAAATGTTACTTTAGTAAAGTGTGGAAAAAACCACCGGTAAGCAGCATTTTATGTGTTTGCATCCTTTCTAGTAGACTACATCTTCCTGTGACCCTCTAGCTACATTAAATTACGTTATTCACAATTTGGTTGATTTCAAACTTTTGAACATCGGCCATAAACTCAAGACTAACCTCTGACAGGGCCTTCAGAATTAGAGTATCGGCCGAGGAAGGAGAGGGGGTGACAATTTTAATAAAAATAAATATATTGATCTTTCCATTTCAATCCGCACATTTTTAACGCTTTTTTTGGTAGAATTTCGACCAAATTCAAAAAGCCCGAAAAAACATAGGAAAGTGAACCCCCCGCCAAGTTACACTCTTTTAAAGGAGGAAATTTGCCAGGTTGCCGCTTGACACGTCCGTCTTTGCAAACTTGTAATTTGGCCTGTTCCTCATAGAGTTTGACAACTTTTAGTTCATTAGATTTGTTATTTTTGTACTTTTAAGTGCATACTAAACAATTTAATCCGGTTATAAGATTTTATAGATACACTAAAAAAAGGCTTCAAACGAGTTATAAAAAAAAGGTGTCTTTAAATCTTTATAAAAAAATATATTTTGTGTGAAATTTTTTGTTCTGTAACGTATCAAAGTTTGGTTTACGGCATTTTTTCGGTATTGAGAATTATTAGCCGAAGGCAGACGTTAGGCTGAAAATAATCGGCTGCCGATACAGTAACTCAATGTATTTTGTTGCAGCCACTAGTGTCAACTCCATTTGAGAGCCCAGGAGAGCGGTTATAGAAATCTGTATGTTTTAATCTTATAAAATCTATATAAAAAAGTTATCTTACACATGAAAATATTTACAAATTCTTATTTTGCAGACCTGTAGCAAGTCGTCTATACTGAAATATCCTCTGCTTCCTAATTCTTTGGTGAGCCGCGGAATTCGAAGAGTGGCATTAAGATTGAAGCAAAAAATGACAACAACAATGTCAAAAAATACAGAAATTTAGTTTTTAAAGAAAGCTCTTTTGATGAACGGAAAAACTAAGTTGCAGATGGCAAACCTTTTGTAATTTGAGACTTGCCAGAGAATTATGCACTGGTGGTTCAAAATCCAATTCAACCATTTTGTTGGACAAATGCGCAGACGACAGTTCTTTCGTGTACAGCTTATTTTAAAAAATGACTTATTAGATTCTGCTCAAATTTACAACTTTACAATTATTTCTGGCTGTTTCAACCATTATTTTAGCACAGTCTATCTATTTTAGGTCATCTAGTCCGATTCTTAAAACAAAATCCGACGTAAAAAAAGTCAATTTACTTCTCCGACAGAGCTGACTCACAGTAAAAAAAAACAAAGAGAATTTCTGCATCACAATATTTCGTAAAGCCAATTTCGGCATTGCTGCAGAATGGCGCGTGGAAAAAGCTTATGCGGTGGTACTGGAGGAGCTTTGAATAGGTTAGCTACTCAAACTCACCTTCAGAGGCTTTTTTCCGACCAAATATCGGTACCTTTAGTTCTATACGATTGGGGTCAGCAATACCTATGAAACGATGACGTAGCATATTTCGGTAGCAGACTGTACGAAACGGAGTGGACGTTGCTACTTCCACGGTCTGCCACAGCAGTCTGCATTAGTGGGACGCAACAATTTCATACTGCTATTGCTATTTCATGAACGGCAGGAAAAAGCGTCTTTCAACTGTCGCGGACAAATACTTAATGTACGAAGTAGAGGAGATCCCGAGAGAGACGACTCGTTTCAAGTTCACAAAATAAGAATTTGCAAAAATTTTTGTTTGAAAAATAACTCACTTGTTAAAATAGATTTTTAAAGATCAAGACATACCACATTTTAATAACTGCTCTTCTAAGCTTTCAAATGGAGTCGATAATAGTGGCACCACAGTAAAATACATTGAATTACTGTAACGACAGTCGATTATTTCAGTCTTACATTCTCCCTTGGCTAATAACTCTTAATACCGAAAAAATGTCGTTACTAAATCTTGATATGTTACAGAATAAAAAACACTACACAAAATTTAACTTTTTTAAAACATTGAAAGACACATTTTGATGTGTATTTGAAGTTTTATTTTTATTAAATCTATATGAAATTCATTTTGGAATTAATTTATTCACTACAAAAATAGAAGTATAAGACATTACATATCTGAAGGATCAAAAATTCTTGGGTATTATTAAGAATAAAAGAGCTTACAAGTCTGTGCAGAAGTAAGCATTTTAAGGGGTAACCTGGCAAATTTTGTATGTTTGAGCGGGTGTAACTTAGCAGGGTAATCATTTTTTCAGGCATTCCTTCAAATTTTTTATACTGACTTAGGCTTTACCAACTAGTAAAATTTAAAAAAATTCTGAGAAGTAAAGGAAAAAGGTATGCCACTTGACGTGGAATGACCCACATATCTATAACGACGGTTTTTTGCCCAATAGCATATTTTTTTTTCACTTAATTTCTTGGGATTTTTGAAAAATTGCTGGTTAGTAGAGACTGGGTCAGGATTTAAGAAACCGAAGAGATAACCGAGAAAAGTGGGTTCTCCGCCAAGTTATGCCTCTTCAAAATTGCAGAATTTGCAGGGTTACTGCTTAATAGGCTTATTTTTCCAGGCTCGTAGTTCAGCTAAACCTTGACAGAAATCAACAGTTTTTAATTTGCTAAGTTTTCTATTTCTTCTGCTTTTGAGAGCACATATTACGTGATCAGGTAGGTACAGCAAAAGAAGAGGTTTAGGTAAAAGTTTGAAAAATTCTTTTTCAATTTTTTACAAGGAAGAAAATTTGTACAGAATTCATAACGTAACACAATTTGGTGGTGTTCGCCGAGTGAGATCAAAAGTTATACCTTGAAAAGAGAAGCAAAGTGGACATTAGTCCACTGTTTTTATACTGATTTCACTCAGTTTGCGGAAGCAAAATCAACGCCAGCTGGTCCCGAGAGCTGTGAAATGCTGTTAAACAAAAGCTGATACGTTTTCATTGTTAAAAAATTGTTTTATAAAGCTGCATTGTAGTAATCACGTTTATGATTTATTATTGTTTTGCCTGTAACGAACAGTCTAGACTTGAACATACTCTAATTTACAAATTTTGCATTTATCAGCAGTGGTAGAAGGGGAGTACACCTTGGTGGAAATTTTTACTACAGTTGATGGAATAACGGCATAAATTTTTTTGGGTTTTACTAATCCAAGAAACTTTCGTGAGCCCTAACAATAATAGCATTCAGCCTTACCCGTTGTCTACTGGTGAAGAAAAAACCACGTCAGTACAATACAGAATTGTGTCAAGCTCAGCTGTATAAATGTTTAGTATTGATATTTGGCCGGAAAAAGGCTTCTGAAGAATCACACCAGCTACGATTCTTTTCAAAGTGCCTCAAACGCGAGCGCAGAAGTTCTTTGCAGGTGCGGAATTAAAAAAATGTCATTCTGCAGCAAGCAAGAATCAGAATCAGCTTTTTAAATATAACGTTGTAAAATTTATCTTTATTTTTATGCTGCGAGATAGCTTCATCAGAAAAGAAAATCACCTTTTTGATCTCGCATTCTGTTCGAAAAAGTCAAACAAGATGGTTTAGAAAGAGATAAAGTGTCACGCTTGAAACAGTCAAGGACGGCCATTAAACTACAGATTTGAAAAAAATTTTAATTTTTCTTCTGAAGCAAAATTTCTTTTTTCATGCGCAGGATTTACTTGGAGAAACCAGTGTTATCTAAAAGTTGTGTCACTTTCAACCCTGCTTTTAGCTATTTTCTACGCAGTAACAAAAATGCATACGCTTATACGTAATACAATGTTATAAACATTTTTGTAGCAATTAAAACGTACCAGTCTTTGACAGCTGCTTTCCACGACTATTAAAAGCAGCTGACGTTGATTTTGCCACCGCAAAATGCGTGGCTTTACTGTTAAGACGGTGGATTATCGTCCACCCTGCTCTACATTTCAAGGTATAACTAACTTCTACAAGATATATTTTGTCAAAAAAAATCAAGAAGAAATTTTATAAAATTTTTATTTCATTTTTTTTTTTTTTTTGCTATACCCCCTCAATTACATTAACATTGTTTAAAAGTTTAATATGCCTTCAAAAGTAGAAGACGTGAGAAATTTAACAAATTATTCAGAATTTATAAACTGTTAAATTTTATCAAGGTGTAGTTGAATTACAAGTGTGAAAGGAAGGTATGCCGAACATCAGCATAGCAAATTTTGCAACTTTGAGGGGACATAACTTGGCACAGAATTTGCTTTTCTAGGTCATCTTTTCGGTTTCTTAAATCGGGGCTCAGACTCTACAAAATAGCAACTTATAAAAAAACTTCAAGGGGCCAAATGAAAAAATGTACGAGAATGTACAATTAGCATGGGATGGTTTATATATATACTGATTTGGAGTGAAAATTGGTTAGGAGCAAAAAAACTCGCGTTTCTTAATCATTTATGTTTGATTTACAGCAGTCTGTATTCGACAGTATACGCTCTTAAACAGTAAGAAATGCTCAAAATTTACCGAGTCTTCTCCGAAATATTTTCTTATTTCATCTTCAAGGTGAAATACTCTTTTGAATGTAATTTCAGCAGACATATCAACATTTTCTGCTCGACTTTTGCAGGTGACTCTGTCGATTCCGAGTTGGAAATCACATGATGCTCGAAGTATTGAAGCTGTGTATGTTTTATTCTCCGTAAAATTGGACAACGCAAAGCAGTTTCCATGAAAATCATACGTGCGGCTTTGGGTATAAGCCGTATATAAAGCATACGCCCCATCTGCACCGTCTGTATAGTTTGGAGTTCCCCTTCCGGATTCGTATCTCAGCCCAATAATCCTTGCATCAACATCAAGGTTTGGGATTCTTTGTTCATCAGCAAATAGATATTCTAAAACATTTAATACACCTGGTAGGAGACTTAAAACGTAAGTGTTTTCGTCGGAAAAACAATAAAGGCATACGGACTAAAAAGTCTTTCTCAAGTTCATTTGAGATTGATATGAGATGGCCATCCACAATTTCCACGCATAGGTCTTCTGCTTCTTCGAAATTCCGAACCTTTCTACCAGGAAGAATCTGAAGGTTTTGAAACAGTTTGTACAAACAAATAAAACCGAGGAAGTAACGCTTTTTAGAGTATGCGGCGCTGAGAATACTTGTTTTTACTATAATTTTTTTAAATTACGTTTTGTGAATAAATCTTGATAAAGCGTTATGCGAACGTACTGTTAAATCATGCACACAGTAAGTCTCATTGTTTAGCTTTTCAGAGACGGCAAAAGGATCAATATCGTATCTGATACTTTGGTCTTCCTTTTTCTCGCACTTTCCAGTTACCTCTGAAATGTTGTTAATAACTGCCCGTCATATTGAAAGTTCTATGTTTTGCACAGCTAATTTGAAATGTGTTATGAATTGAATCAGGTGCAGCTTTAATTGCCGACTAGTTGGCAATAGAAAAATGCGTCTTTTAGAGAGTCAATCGCCAAGAAGTCCACGTTCGTCTCTCATTCACGATAAATTATTTTTACTACTGTTTAAGGTTTTAGGGCGTTATCAACAACATTTTCTTCAAAACAATGCATTTACTTTAGGATATTCTTTATTGAAAGAAGAAGAGGGTGATGACGATGGTGACGATGAAAAAGAAAATTGCTTACTGTATTGCCTGCTTGGAGCGGTATCACTCTGTGCCTAAAAAATTGGAAGGCCAGATGTAGTAACAATATCGACTTTGAAGTCCAAATCGTTGACAAACTTTTAAGTTTTATTTACTAGCACTTTAGCAAACTTGGTGTTTTTTGGCTTTTAGCTAAATTAGCTCATAGTGGTATCCTTTAATTAGTAATAAATTTTAATTCGCTTCACCTTCTTAATGTCTTGGAGAAGCTCTAGAAGTTCCTCTGAAAATTCGGGGACTTCCGCTTTACATACAAACATGTACGATAGGTGACACACTTCGAACGATAACCCATCTGCAATTGTTTGAAAAATGTATGAAAGCTAGCATTTGCGTAAAAATAAACATACTGTTTTTAAGAAAAATTAGCTACTGTAAGTGAAAACAATGACCTCACCTATGTGTTGAGTGCTGTGGCGGTAGAGGTAAAGGCAAAGAGTTTGTTGTGACTTGTCGCGAACTACAGCGAGTTTCATTGCAAAAGTGAGGTTTGTGCCGTCAGTAAATGTCTTCGACTTATAGTATGGCGACGCCATAAACCCAATAGGAGCAACCAGTCCATTTCCTACGGTGATGTTTGAAAACACGGCATCTACAACAAGAAGCGAAAGTGATAACTTGTTGAAATTGTGTAGTCATTTTTTTGAGCATAAGTCATCAAAATAGATAAAATTCTTGTATCTTATTTGGGAAACCGTTTACCGACTTGGATAATAAACTAACAATTGGCAATTGCAAGTTCTTCATCATCTTGTATAGAGATGAGATGGCCACCAAACTTTGCTACGCAAAATTTCTCTGACCTGACAAAATCTGATTTCATATCAGAGAAAAAACCAACATCAGGATCTTTAATATAAACGTTATTGGCAACCTAAATTCAAATACTATGAGAAATATTGGCAAAAAATTGCTAGAAAGCAACTCAGATTTTCTTAGAATCAAAACTAAGAGTAGACACGAAAAGTATTAAAGTTTTTCTTAATCTTTGTAAGTTGATACTGATGTACTGCAGTACTACACTACCAAAAGTGTAATTCTCACATAAATTTATTACCACTGGTTTAGACAACCATTTGTGGTAGATTCTATTTATTATAAAGATTAAATAAAGATAATGAAATTTTCATAATTAGTAAATATCAGTATCGTCAGGGAATTCGTTACGAGAGAAATTCAAGATGAACTTACTATAGGCGAGAAAATACAATACTTTTCTTTTGTAGTTTTGCTAGAAACCTGCATTGGATACGCGTGAAAACTGAATATCGGAGCCCGAGAACAACCTTTACTAATACCTGCAATTTATGAGTCAATACCCAAACAAAGCTTCCAAATAACTGTTTGAACAAAGAGGCTTAACATTATTGTGAACCAGGGCTATAACCACTGATTGGTCTGTGTCAATTTTGGAGACGACAACCATCTTTACTGGCTACCTAACTACAAAAATCTTACAGATATAGCATGCATATATATTTATAAATCTTGTGCAGCAGTGGTCATAAAACGAAGTTTTAAAGTTGACAAAAGGTTATTATGATAGATTTGTGGCTTTTAAAAGTATGAGGGGTGATAAAGAAACAATGTTATGCAAGTTTTGAGGACAGAAGGATGTAACTAAAATAAGCATTTATAGCGCAGAATAACGGGTGTTCAAAGATTGGCTATTTTTGAGCAGCTTTTATTCTCAGTGATAGCGGTTGCCTATACTGTCAACCATGTTATTAGATGTTGACGTTGCGTTAATCTGAAATGTACCGGGAACTACACGTTAAAGTACATTGCTTAAAACACCATAAGTAAAACGTTATTTTCTTTTAAGTAATAACCGCATCAACAAATAATCTTTTTCT